GGGGCCAGATTAAACGTTTGCGAGGGGAGAAAGAAACCACGAATTTTGAACTTCACGCTAGTGCTTCACACGCATTTTTCTCCTTTGCCTTACCTGACACCAGCCCTGGGAAGACGTATTAGACCCATTCTGCAGGTGAGGGAAACTGAGGTCCCCAGTGATGCAGTGGATCGCCTGAAGCCACGTAGCTATTACTTAGGTGCCGTCAAAACACAGGGCCGCTGGTGAGGACAGAGATGAAAGGGATCTGACTCTTACACGGGGTTACTTGGTTATGTCAGCCCCGGGGACCACACTTAGCAGGTGGCCGCCCGTCCTGTTTCCAGACCAGCTGTCTAATTGCCGGGAGACTTCTCACTCCCCAGGCGTTCAGAAACACGGCCCAGGTTTACGGGCACAGCTAAAACAGGATCTAAACAGCTTGCTGGGGGAAGCTATATAATTAAAACTGACTTAGGAGACAAGTGCCGTCAGCCTGTACGGCAGAAATAGAAAGTCACCTAGCCAGATGTGCGTCGCCCATGGGGATGCCGGGGACTGCTTTTGCCTGTCTGGCGCTTTTTAATTATAATGGGTATCCTGAGGTCTGCAGTTTGCACTGCCACCTTCGGAAGGTGGCAGTGCAAACCATTATTACGTGCCCGCGTCCGCCATCCGGAGCTGGGTTTCTGAGGGGAGGAGGTGGGTGGCCAGGTTCCTTTTAGATGCTATAGACCGAGGTGAGCCCATCAGTCCCACCCGGAGGTGACTGAAGCCTCATCTCCTAATCATCAACTCTTGAGTGTCACTCTGCGTCAGGAGGGGCTGGACTGACTCCAGGACCCTCTGTGCACTGAGTGTCTCCGCCTGGAGGGTTCACGGCCACAGCATCACGGGCGTGTTTTTGTCTCCCAGACCGGTTTTTAGAGAACCCGCTTCTCCCGCTCTCTACATAGGCTTTGTGGGATCGTGGCACATGACACCCACACATCTCTGGTCGCCTCGTCCCGGCAGGCTCACGCAGAGTACTGGGTCCCCTCAACACAGCGCCCGGTCCAGAAGTAGGCATGTGAGCCAAGCAGAATCAGTTAGAGTTTTTCTGTATGATTTCATAAAAAGTCTATTCCTTTGGGGGCATAAACTGTTCAAATACAAGCTCAAGGCCACTAGTAGCCATTCTTCTGCCATGCGAAGCAAACCTACTCTCAGAGAAAAAAATTCTAATGTTCAGAGAGAAGCTGTGAAGAGGCGAGATACGGGGAGAGAACATGAGTCCCCATGACACCAAATGCACCCTAAATCCAGCCATGCCTGTAGGATTTGCCCTTGGACTCCCAGTTAATGAGCCCGTAAGTGCTTCTTTGCTCAAGCTGGATCGAATAGGGTTTCTTTCAGGGACCCTGAAGAATACATATCTGAGAGTCAACATATCCCAACACAAAATCCCGACTCCTGCCAGCAAACCTGCTTTCCTCTCATGCTCCCTTTCTTCCCCGACCTCATCGCCGCTCATTCAGCGACAGCCGTTATTCAATGCCATGACCTTACTTCAGGTGCGTATCACTTCTTACCTGGATTGCAGCCATGGCGCTCTGCCTCCAGGCTTGTCCACCCCACACCCACAGACACACGCACACCCCCGCGAAAATATTTCTGAGCCTGATTCTTCCTGCTCCTCTGTGGAGTCATGATGAGGCTGCCTGACATCTGGCCCCCTCTACCTGTTACACCTCACCTGGCACCACCCTCCCCTGGCTCCAGCTAGAGGACTGTGTGGCAGTCCCCGCCCTCCCCTCTAAGCTAACACGCATGCTGCTTTCGGGGGTTCTTAATCCTTTTTTGTGCCGAGGACCCCCTTTCCAGTCTGTGGAAGCCTATAGACCCCATCTCAAAATAATGTTTTTTAAATCATAAAATAGACTATGTAAGATTATAATGAAATTATAAGTGTATTGATACACAGTTATCAAAATATTAAAACCAATTTACGTGGTATATAAACTAATATATATGGTAATGTCTATCCTTCATTTCTGCATTAAGTAGCCGGGCCTGATAACTAGTAATTTTCAAGTAGTAAAGAGTGTAAAAGAAATTTCAAGTTATTCGTAACAACTATAATGTGATATGAATATATGTGGTTTCTGTTGGTGACGAAGTCCCGGGTAAGTACTAATTATTGCGGCCTGCATTCATCCCAAAAGGAGGTACCGAATTTCAGGTAGAGGTCAGTGACGGTGGAGTTGTAACTTCTTTCTTTTCTAAGTTCATATCCGACCCCCACCCCCCTGCCAGTTAAGCACCACTGGGCTCTAGAATGATCTCCCCATCTTTTGTTCTTTGGGACTCAGCTTAATGTCACCCCCTCTAGGAAGCCTTCCCCGACCATAAACACACTAGGTTAGCGCACTCCCCCCGCCCTCCCCGTTTACCCATAACCACCTGGGCTCCCCTTGGTCACACCACAGGCCCCGTGCGAATCCACGCATTCGTCAGTCCCTTGGACTGGCGGCTTCTTCTCTGAGACTTGGGAAGGTGCCTGCTACTTTGTCCAAATGGACACGGCCTCTGTCTGAGTCCAGGTTACTCTTCAAAGCCAAACTGCAGTCCCTGAGAAGGGCAGGGAGAGGCTCACAGCCTACCCGAAATCCATTCTCTGAGTGACATCTGACACCTCCCTGATGAATGGCTTAGGACCGACTCCTCCTTCATTATTGCATCCAGGGCAGGATGGCGCAGCTGCGAAGAACTGGGCCTTTAAGGCCAAACAGATCTGCACATTCATCGTGTCCCTGTCACTTCCCACCTGTTTACCTTGGGCAGCTCACTTCTCAGAGTCTCAGCCTCCTCACCTGTAAAATGGGATGAGACTCACCTTGCAGGGCTCTGGTGAGGATTAAAAAGAAGGCGCGTGCAGGCTCAGTCCTCAGCCTTAACGATGACCCGAGTCGGAAGTATCCGTGTGAGACTTAATACCATCCATTTATTCATTCAGCAAGCAGTTATTAAGCTCCTGTTGTGTACCAAGTGCTTTACATACATGAAAGCATTTGATGCCCCCGGAGGTAGGCTCTGTTACCCCCATTTTAAATAATCTCTTCCACTACAGGAGAGGGGCTTGGGATTCTCAGTTTTGTCTTTAGGGATTAAGGTCCCAAACTAAAGATGTCATCTCCCTCCACCCCAGATCCTGCACTGTGAGGCAGTCAGGTGCAGTGACGTGGGGGTGAATTCCGTTGTAGGCTGTGTTTGAACCCCAGCTCCTCCATGCTATATACCCCCTGGGCAAGTTACTTCACCCTCTTTACGCCTCCTTTTTTCTCATCTGAGGAATGGAATAATAAGAGTGCCCACTCACGGTTATCAGAGAATTAAAAGATCGAATTTGTGTAAAAGATCTAAAATGGTCTCTCAGGCACACGGGCTCATGGGAACACCTGGAAAATTCCTCCACCTCCCTCAGGTCCCCTCAAGGAGCACCCATCCCGCCAAGCACCCTGTCGCATCAGCGTCGAAGAGACACTGGATGAATACCAGAAACTGGTCAGGAGTCCCCACCCTGTGTGTTCAGACGCCAGTGCTGCCTGCTGTCTTGCCCTGGTAGAGTGGCTTTCCCTGTCTGCACCTCAGTTTCCTCATCTGTAAATTGGGGACAGTCGCAGCACCTCCCTCATAAAGTTAAGAGGCGTCAACAGCAACAATAAAAACATCGATCGTGTGCCTGCTCTGGCCAGGCACTCTGCTAGATGTATAGGAGTGAGCAAAGGGAAGGATGAAATGAAATAATGCTTGGGAGGCGTCCAGCACCGTGGCTGCTGAATTACCGGCGCTCAGCATGTGTTACATCGCCTTGTGCTCAAAATGAAATATTGTATCACACCCCGAAATGTGCATGTATGCTAGATTTTTACGCACAATATATACACGTAGGTATATCACGTATTTAGTTTATTACTTCCACATTTATTTCCACAAAACAGCGCCGGAGGATAGGCAGGGTGGAGATTTTTATGCCATTGTTCCTGATGAAAAGCCAGGCAGGCACTGGGAGGTTAGAAGGTTGATCAACTGTTGACTGGCAACTGGAGATGGCTGGGCATTTAAAAAAGAGAACCGGTGGAGGGCAATGTTCCATCTCGAATCCCTCAGTGGGGAGCCAGCCCCAGCTCTGCGGCCTTGGGGTGCGAGGACCGGTGTGGGATCGGCCTCCAGGCCCAGGCGCCCCTGCCACGCGGGCAGGCTGGCGGGTGGACACGCCCTGGGGCGCCGCTCGCTGGCGCGGAGCCTGCAGCGGGCAGAGGCGCGCACGACTCCGGGCGCGACGCTGGGTGGCGCTGCCGGTCCGCCCCGCGCCAGACCTGTTGCGCCCAGGGCGCAACTCCGGCAGGTTTAGGGTAGAGGGGCGCTCCGCTCTCTCGGTGCGTCCCCTGCGCCCCGGGCCGCAGCACCTTCCTTGGGGCGCCCTATGCGCCCCCTTAACTTCAGGCTCCCATGCATTTGGCCTCCGCGTTCCTCACTGCCGCAGTTCTAGGCGCGTCGGGTGGGGTGGGAATAAAGTTTTTCCTAGCTGGTCTGGGAGAGGGCCGGATGGGGAGGACCCTCCCAGCTCCAGACTCCACGGCGGGCTAGACTGTAGCCCCTTGACTCGCGGCCACCCCGGGGGCTCTCCTCTCTGTAGGTGCCAGCCCCCGCGCCGCCGGATGGGCCGACCCGTGCACCGCCCCCTGCCACCCGCTTCCCCATCCCTGTCCCCTCCCCCGCCTCTGGCGCGCACCGGCCCCCGCGTCTTCGGCCCCGCCTGCGCTGGGGTCGCTGCAGTCCCTGCGGCTGCCCCCGGCTCCCTCCTCAGGCGTCCCGGCCTCATTCCAGCCTGGGGTGCGCCTCGGGGGGAGCGCGGGACGGCGAGGGAAGCGGAGACGGGGGCCCTGGGCACCCCAGCTCTCCCAGTCGGGGAGGCGGCCCGCACTCCGGGAGCCGGAACGCAGGGAAAGGCAAGGACGGGGCGGCCGGCGGAGGGGCGGGCGCCGCTCATCATCCACGCCAGTCACGTCTGGGGCCACCCGGCTGCCTTCTCTTCCTTTTCCCCCTTTGCTTTCTCCCCCTTTCCCGTTGGAGAGGGCAAAGTGGCTGTGGCGGCGCCATGCCCGGGCCGGAGTGAGTCGCGCGGGCGAAAATGGCGTACATCCAGGTAGGGCTGAGGCTGGGGGCCAGGTCCGCGGTGTTGGGGGTGGCGCGCCCCCTTCGACCGTGAGCGCGCGGAAGGGCGGGCTCGCGGCTGGGCTCCCACAAACTTGCCTCGAGAAAAAGGGTGCTCGGGCGCAGGCAACCTGTGCGCCCCAAGGAGAAGAGGCTGGGGACCCCACACCCCGGAATGACGGGACCCCTGCGGACTCCGCACGCGCGCCCTCAACTCGGGGAAGGAATGGGGGGTGGTGCGGACTTTTCTCCCCAGTACCCCTTCCCCCTCCCTCTGCACCCCACCCTAGGGGAGGGGCCGCGGGGAGGGCGGCCCGGGGCGCCAGCCGCCTGGCCCGCCAGCTGCCGTTGCCGTGGTGACGGCTCCGGCTAATTGGCCGGCGGAGCCAGCCTGAGACAGCTGTTCCGGCCAGGAGGGACAAGGACGTCTTCTTTCCCGGGCACTGGGTGCTGAGGGGTGGGGGACGTACCAGGGGCGTGGCGCTGGGTGGCAGTGGGGCAGCCGATCCCTTCAGGCCGTTGCACTGGGATTGGGAGTTGCGGACCCCCATCATCTGGGAGAAACTGCCCCGAGAATCCTTGGGCCGAAATAATTTCCAAGCATATTTTTTGGGAGGGTGGTGGGGCTGCTTGACTCAGCGTCCTTTCCCCTTAATACACGGCTGGAAGTGGGGCCAGGTCAACGTCAAGGTCACGCTGTCAGACCCGTTGAGTTGCTTGTTTCTGGGACCGGGTCTTCAGAGCCCTGCAGAAAAGCCCAGTCTCCCACATCCGGCGTGCATCTGGCCTCCCTTCTCATCCACTCGGCCACAGTTGGGGGGCTGCTGGTCCCCTAGTTCCCCTCGGCTCACACATCCCCTCATTTTGCCCTCAGACTTTTCCAGTCTGCTGGGAACTCTGCTCTGTCGCCTGGCGTGGCCTCCTCCTTTCTCTCCCGGCTTAGATTAGCTCCACCGGCTTCCGTTTCATGACATCCCTAGGTCATCTTTTCAAGTTCAATGAAGGTCATATTTACTGTACACCCACTGTGTGCCGGATGGCCTTGGGACTAGTCAACAGGCAGATGCCTGTATGACCACCTACTGTGTGTGTGCACCAGGCGTACAGCTGTGAAAACAGCAGGGTCCCTGCCCCTCGGAATGCACAATCTAGTGAGACATTAGAACATTAGAACAGGCTCTTCCAGTTCTTAATGACCACCTTCGGCACAGAGAAAGTAAGTCACTTTCCCAAGGCCACACAGCTGCTCAGGGGACGGTGGTGAAGTCTTAAAGTGGGGATGGCAGCGATCAGGGGGGATTTGATAAGCATAGAGTATGAAGATGGCCTGGCGATGCAGACCTAACTTCCAGAACGAGATGTTAAACTTTTTCTGCAAAGGGCCAGATAGTAAACATTTTTTTCTTCTAAGGCCGCAGGGTCTGTCATGACCATTCAGCTCTGACCGTGATGCTGAACAGCCACAGACAATAGTAAATGAATGGCTACGTTCCAATAAAACTTTATTTGTGGACACCGAAATTTGAATTTCATATACTTTGCATGAATTAAGAAGCATTAATCTTCTTTTGACCATTTTTCGACCATTTAACAATGTACAGAACATTCTTCGCGGGAGCGCTGTACAAAAACGGGCTGCAGGCTGGACATGCCAAGCCCTGTTCTAGAATGTCTGGATTCTGCTGGACTCTGTTCTCACGCCGGAACCCAGTAGACCCAGTGTGAGGAAAGACCCAAAGCATACCTCAGTGGCGGAGCATCTTCCCCTACCTCTTCCTTCACCTCTCGTTTGCTCTTTGCTCCTTGCCACTCATCCTGCACCCGGGCCTTGAGAAGGCTGGATGGTTGTTCCTTAGCTGGGGCCCTGAGGTGGCTTTGTCATCACGATTTTATACATGGTCCTCTTTTGATCGCCCCACAGCAAGGAAATACTTCCCTAAATGAAGAGAACGGCACGGATCGTTGTGAAAAAGCATCACTTTATCCTAGGCATTTTAAAGTACCTGCTCGTGTATGCCCCATGAGGGCATAGCTTTCTGTTGCTTTGTTCACTGCCGAATTGGTCAGGACAGTCCCTGGCGCCTAGTAGGTTACAACTGGTGTTGACAAGCCACCTTGTTTTCATAAGCCGCAGAAAGGTGCTTTGCAGCTGGGTAGCACACAAACATTTTCATAGTCAGTGTGCTAGCTTAGCCCTTCCACTAAAGGAAAGAGGTAACTGAGGCTCAGGGTGGCACCTGACTCGCCCACGTCGTAGGATTGGCCGACGGCGAGGCCCGGACTAGCGGTTCTGAACCTCCAGTTCTTGTTCAGGTTCGAGTTTCGCTTTTGGAAGAGTCTGTGGTTAGTGCCCGAGACTTTGTCCCCCGAGCTGTAGTCATCTCATTGCCATGTCAAGGGCTCTGAATTCCAGCTCCGTGCCACCTGTACTGTTATCTGCCTAATATTTGTTTTCTAAAAACGGGCTTGCTTTTTATACGGGGGAAAAAATGGGGAGAAAAAAAACCGCACGATGAGAATAATGCCACCTTAGATTCTAGCTGGAAAGGGATCTCTCCAAGGCTCTGAGCTGGGGTCTTCTTTCTGTTTAAAAAAGAAAGGGTGGGAGGAGATTTGCAAGTGTTAGAAAGACGTTGACGTACGACGGTACCAAATCGAATCTTTCTCCTCCTTGTAAGAGAATCGAAAAAGAAAATAGCTTTCTGCCTGTTGATTCTGAGTTCTGAGTTCGAGTCCAGGCTCCTCCTAACCTTCCTGGTTTACTTGGCCGATCTGGAAAGCCATCAAGACTCTTCTCTGGAAGGGGGAGAGGGAGCCTGTGCCTTGGGAACCTGTGAGAAGATGGGGTGGGGCCAAAGGAGGGAGGAGGCCCCTCCTTCCCAGAGAACCAGATGATGGCTGCCTTTTCTGGTGGCTCCCTCAATTTGTGGGTGGTCATATGAAGCTCCCCACCGTCACCATTGGAGCAGAGTTGGAAGGTAGGGCCTCTAGGAGGGCGGGGGGAGCCCAGTCCCATCCCGCCCGCATGTTAGCGAATCCTGTCCTTCTGGGGTTGGCTTCATGGCTATTTCTGTATGGGAAGGTTTGCTCTTCTGAAGTGTGGCTGCGTTGGGTAGCATGACTAGCTACCCCGCTCTGATTCATAACAGCAGACGGTGCAAATCAAACCGAAATGCTAAAGTTTCCCGTTTATTCGGTGTTGGTTAGCCAGGAGGCTACCAGCAGCCCGGAAAATAGCAACACCTTGTTAGGAAGTCAGCTCCCTTCCCAGGATGGTAAGTGAAAAGATCCAGGGCCTT